ATCTGAAGGAAAGAGTTAGACCTTCACACACCTTAACTAGAGATTGGAGATACTCTACAAGTCACCCCAAAGATTTGATCTTAGGTGACCCTTCTAATGGAGTTAGGATTAGACATGGACTTAAGAAGGAGTTGAATTACTCTGCCTTTATCTCAATGACTGAACCCACAAACATAAACCAAGCCCTTTCTGATGAGTTTTGGATTTTAGCCATGCAGGAAGAATTAAACCAATTTGTTAAGAATGATGTTTGGGAGCTTGTGGAAAGACAAAAGAGACAAAGTGTAGTTGGAACCAAGTGGGTCTTTAAGAACAATATGAATGATTATGGAGTGGTGGTAAGGAATAAAGCAAGATTAATGGCTAAGGGGTATAATTAAATTGAAGGAATAGATTTTGAGGAGACCTTTGCCCCTGTAGCTAGATTGGAAGCCATTAGAGTGTTATTAGCCTTTACTTGTTATAAAGGATTTAAGCATTTTCAAATTGATGTCAAGAGTGCCTTTTTAAATGGGGAATTAAAAGAGGATATGTTTGTAGAACAACCCCCTGGTTTTGAGAGTTCCTAATTTCCAAATCTTATTTTTAAATTAAAAAGGGCCTTATATGGTTTAAAGCAGGCACCCAGAGCTTTGTATGAGAGGCTTAGCACATTCTTACTAGAAAGGGGTTTTGTTAAGGGGAGCGTAGATACCACCCTTTTTCTTAGGAAAGTTGAAGATGATTTGCTCATTGTTCAGATTTATGTGGATGACATACTTTTTGGATCTTATGATAAAAAACTTTGTGATGAATTCTCTAAAATAATAAGTAGAGAGTTTGAGATGAGTATGATGGGAGAATTTTCATACTTTTTAGGGTTTAACATAAAATAATTAGATGATGGAATCTTTCTAAATCAATCAAAATACATAAATGACATTTTGAAGAAGTATGAGATGGAAAAAGTCAAGCCAATTAATACTCCCATGACTTCTAGTGTTCCATTGGATAAGGACCCAAGTGGTAAGTCTGTTGATCAGAAGAAGTAAAGAGGCATGATTGGATCTTTACTTTACTTGACTGCTAGCCGACCTGATATAATGTTTAGCGTTTGTCTTTGTGCTAGATTTCAAGCTGACCCTAAGGAATCCCATCTAACTACAGTTAAGAGAATTCTTAGATACCTTTTAGGGACCCAAAACTTAGGGATTTGGTACCCTAGGCACAGCACTTCTTTTGAGATTATTGGATTTCCTGACTCTGATTTTGCATGATGTAAGGTGGATAGAAAAAGCACTTCTGAAACTTGTCAATTTATAGGACAATCTTTGATCTCATGGTCTAGTAGAAAGTAAAACTTTATTGCACTTTCCATTACTGAAGCTGAGTACATTGCTTTAGAAAGTTATGTGGCTCAATTCCTTTTGTTGAAACAACAGGTATTGGATTTAGGATAACTTGTAGGCACCATCTCAATCTTTTGTGACAACATTAGTGTCATATGCATTTCTAAGAGTCCTATCCAACATTCAAGGACTAAGCACATTGACATTAGGCATCACTTTATTAAAGATCATGTGACTAAGTGAGACATTGAGTTACACCATGTGACAACTGAGAATCAACTAGTTGACATCTTTACGAAACTACTGGCCTTCGACACTTTCAGCTCTTTAAGGACCAAATTGGGTGTGATTGATATAAATGTATGAACTAGATCTTTTACTTGCTTTTCTTTTGTTCTTTTTCTTTTATTCTTTTATTGCTTTATGTTTTGTTGTTAGTTTTTTGTTTATTATTTTATTTTTTGTTTTCTTAAATTTCTTTTAAATCATCGTTGAAGTGATATCGTATGCCTTGTTCTTGCTTTTAAAAAATTTGTAGTCAATGTTTTATATCTCTTAATCCATTAAAGGGTAAAAATATTCCATTGATTGTGTCTCTTTCTCTAACATATTTTAGCGGCACAGTTTTCTTTTCTAATCAAAAGTCTATCTCAAATTAATAAATGGTGTATGCAATTAAGATCTTTTCTAACCTTGCTACACTAAATCTATCTTGTACTTATAATGATCAAAGTCTTTTTATCACATCAAGATTCCTCGTTATCCTTGTAATTGCATTTTCTTCATACGATTATTGATTCTATTTTGTGGATTGTTCTTCCCTATATTAGAGAGTGAGTTTTTCTTCTCTAATATCTAGAAGATATACTCACAACTAAGATTTTTTAAGAGTTTTTGAAAGAGAATGTAGCTTGCAAAAATGAGAAAAAAAATTGGCCAATAATGCCAAAAACAAAAGATGCGCAATGACACCAAATTAAAAAAATATACACAAAGTGTCTCAAAAATTAAAAGATGCGCAAAGCTCCATTCAAATTAATAAGAGGCATAAAATGAGCCCACCAAAAGCAAGCTCTCCTCTCTTTTTAAATCTTTTAAAACTTAGAAGATTTCATGAATCACTTAATAAAATCAAAGGCTTGATTTCGATTGTTTTGCGATTGTGACAAATTTACTTTGATACATTATTCAATAAGATATTTTTTCTGAAGCCAAGTGGTGAACGGATCCTTTTTTATATCCAATTGAATTTTTGAGTAAGGACATTGATTTCAAAAGACTATTTTAGCCTAAATAAAAATTCGAACTAAGGATAACCATGATCGGATATTCTACCATTTTTTAGATTTTTGATGTTGTTACTCATTAGCTTACAAATTTTTAAAATCAATCAAATAAAATACTACATCATGTTCATGCTTTTGTTTATTAAAAAAAAAGGGATTTGTTTACTTTGTTTCTTCGTTTCTTCCTTCTTTTTGAGATATCAAAAGGGGGAGTAGGATGTTTGAGTGTTTTCACTATGTTATGTATTCTGAATTTTGGAAGCTTTCTATTTTGCACTGCTATTTTGGAATTAATCGTCGGAGTGTTTTGTCATATTAAAAAGGGGGAGCTAGATTGTTGCAAATATGTTCTCATGGATTATGTTTTGATAATTAGCAAACACTCTTGTCTCTCTACGACTGCCTTTTTTACTAACATTACAGTGCCACAAGATCAGATGGCAATCGAAATAAGCTCAAGATTGGGTAGACTAGGTCTAAGTTAGTATGTAATTTTTTTTCCCTTTCTTGAGTCAATTGTAACCATTGAAGTGTTCTGATGCTAAGTAACCATACACACACTTGAGTGATTTTTTCTATCTGACTTAAAATTTTTGTTTTTACTCACATCATTCCAGACGATATTATTATCGATCAAGATTCTCTGCCTGCTTCAGGAGGAAGCAAAAGGAGTTGGGTTCTCTGCCTTGCCGGGGGTGGCAAAAAGGAGGTTTTTGTAAGGGCTTCTCCGCCTTGCTGTGGGAGCAAAAGGAGAGTCACTTTGGTAGTGCAATACTAGGAGGGCGCCTCCTGGGAGTGGACGTAGGTCGAGTTGACCGAACCAGTATAAACCCTTGTGTTCTCTTTTTTTCTTCCGCATTTAATTTTTTCCGCACTTATTTTCTGTGGTGATTTTGATTTGAGCTTTGTTGTGCTTTGGTTAAAAGATTTTTTAAAATACCAATTCACCCCCCTCTTGGTTAGCCTTGGGCCAGTTCATAAGAGCCTAACATCCCTAACGAACTTTCAACAATATGAATTTTATACCACTAGGTGGATAGCTGGCTTTCTTTTTTAAGTAGGATATAAGTCTAGGATGCATTAGCTAGGACACAAGTGTTAGTGCAATGTGTAGAACACTAAACTCAATCTAGATTTATGGTTTAAGCCTACTACTATTGGTGTCTCTTAGTATGCCTCATCGATGGGTAAGTCCTCTATCCTTCAGAGGTTATAAATCCTGCCTATCCACGTCACATGAACGACGTCACCTCAATCCTTCTCTCTCGTATGCTCAGAGTGCCATGTTGACTTTTATCCAGTTTCTTTTCACTACACAAACCCTTCTAGATGTTGATGTGAGTCGTGTATGCTGACTAAGACAAGTTGAAACCTTTCTTTCCTTTTGAGTATGAATTTCCTAGTCTCCTCCCTATATGCTAATCCCATCTAAGAGAATAATGTATGATCCTGAATTGAGAGTCTTCTTAGGCACCAACTTAAGATGTAATTAATCACGGGGGCTTGCGCCCGTGGGAAATAGAATCCCACATCAAATAAATTGCACTCAAGCTGATATATCAGGTGGGGGAAATCTCGTGACTCTAATCAAGTCATGCATATTATTACCCATCGAGGTGCGTAAGCTAAAGCCGCTATCCTCAATGGTTAATCATATAAATGATCTAATCTGCCCTCCCATTGGCCCGCTTGCAAAGAGCGCAAAGGTTTGCAACTGTTTTGACCTGCGGGATAGTGCGATCGTGCCCTTTGCATTATGTCCCCACTGAGTGCTGTCCTTTCAGAGGACCACAATGGGACCCAGGTGCTTATGGGTTTCTTGTCTGTTGAAGACTTTTTTGTTTAGGTTATGAACTCGAGATGGTTTTTTGTTGATTGATTGTTTCTTCTTGTTTTGCTAGAAGTTGATATTGGATTAGTTGGTTGGTATTCAAAGGCTTGGTGTGTAGCTGTTTTGGCACTTTGATAATTGATTGCTTCTGCTTGGTTTGCCGAATGTTGATGTTGGCTCAGTTGGTTGGTATTCGAAGGATTGGTGTATAGCTATTTTAACTTATGGACTCGAAAGTTTTTGTTGCTGGCTATTAAAGTTAGCTTTGTTTGATGGATTTTCGCATCTTTTGTATTTTTGTTATGTTTAGTTTTTAGCTTTTCTTTGATAAAGTTATGTTATGCTGAAATTTCTTTCTTTTTGCGGGTTCATTATCTAACTTTGTTAGTTTTATTATTTGATTTTTCTGTTGTTCTAAAGAGTTTTATTTTCTTTTATGATGTTTTTATTAGTTTTTTCTTATTTGATTTTGTAATTTTTTTGTTTTTCTTATAAATTATTTGTAATTTTTTATTTTTAAAAATGAAATTAAGCATGGTCAACTCTTTTCCTCTTCTCCGCTCTCTGCCTCGTCTAGCTCTTATTCGCACTCCAAGCTCCTCCACGACCCAAACCGTAACATCCGCGGCTGTGGGGTTCCGTTTCCCCCGCAATGGAACTGGTGGCCGAAGGCCTCTGGGCCCTCGCCGACGACTCCGAGCGCCGTCGCGACTTCGCCGGCGCTGTAAAATGTCTCGAAGCTCTCTGTCAAAGTGGTGCCTCTCTCCTCCCTATGATCGAGATCCGCACTCGCCTCCGCCTCGCCTCTCTCCTTCTTTCCCACTCCCATAACCTCAACCACGCCAAATCCCACCTTGAGCGGGCCCTCCTCCTCCTAAAATCCACCCCTTCTGCTCTCCCTCTCAAGTTCCGCGCCCACTCCCTACTATCTCGCTGCTACGATCTCACCGGCAACGTCCCGCAGCAGAAACATATCATACTACGCGCGCTTACGCTACTTCGAACTGCTGAGCCTTCCGCACTACCTCCCTCCGCCGCTCTTCTCTGGTCGTGTAACTTTCATTCCCAGCTCGCGTCGGCTCTGGTCATCGAAACTGACTACCCCGCTGCTCTGAAGTCACTTGACGAGGGTTTCTCTGCCGCCTCTGAACTTCGACTTCCGGAACTACAGATGTTTTTTGCGGCATCTACGCTTCACGTCCATCTTTTCCACTGGGATGATCCTGCCACCTTGGAAGCTGCAGCCCGGCAGTCTTCTGAGATTTGGGATTCCTTTTCTCCCGATTTGGTATGCTTTTAGAGATTTTTCCCCTTATTTTATCTCTATTTGGCTGGAAAGGAATTGAAGAACAGTAAATCTTGGAAGTTATTGTGACATTTATTCAAATCTCATTGAATTTGTGATTGACACTCATTTAAAAAAAAAGAGAATGAAAATGAAAAGATTTAGGCTTCGTCTTAATGTTGTTTAAAGTAGTTTTTTAGTAAAAAATAAAAAAATTTTAACTAAAAATTGCTTTAAGCAACAGTAAGAAAGCTATCTCAAACGAAGCCTTAGTTATTGAATTGAAACTTATTTTGCCTCATTTATTTGGTCGAAGATATATGAAGTGAATAATATGTATTTTTTTCTCTATTTGTGATTGAAGAGAACTTATGTTTTTGCTTCTTGTTTAGAGAGGGAAAGCGAGCCGCATCAACGAATCTTAAATTTTTTCCACATTTTTAAGTAGCGTTGGATAGAAAATTATAATAGTAAAAAATGTTGTTAACATTACTTAGGTAAATACTTTTTCTATTAGTTATGCCAGAACCAAACAGAGAATACATGATTAGTTTTTGGATTTAGATTCTCTCTAGTCACCATAAAGTTCAATTGCTAGTCTTGGTCATCCATTCAACTTTTGATGGAGGTGATTTGTTGTTTTACAACCAAAAGATTGTTTGCGATCACTCTTAGTTTCAAAAAACAATTTTGGCCATCTAAACTAAATTTGATGGTCAGGATTGATAACTATCATGTGAAACTAATGATGTTTGAATTGCCTTTAGAACTAGTCGATTCAGTAAAAAAGATTTGTTTATTAAAGTTTCTAGAAAGATAATATAATTTCCCCCAACTTTAAGTCAGCTAAAGCTATCTAATTAACCGTATGTGGCCCTAGGGATGACTAGGCAATGTCATTTAGGCATCAAGGCTAATCAACTAACTTGCAAAGGCTACTCGTTTAAGGAATCTTGGACTTTAGCTAATCAACAAATGGTTAATTCTCTCTGAAGTGTGCTATTCATGTGTTCCTCAATGAGACATTTGAAGTTTTTAACCCAAGAAGGATTCAATTGTCACACCCCAATTTGGCTCACCATCTAACAATCAAATTGGAGTATAACAGAGAAGAAAAAAAAATCTATTTAGACTCTCCTAATACTTCAACATATCAAACTCCATAATAAAAGGAAGCATGTAATGTACCTCAAGTAACATCAAATATAAACAATGTAAATACAGAGCTCTACTAAAACGTTTAAACTTTATTTACATATCAAAATGTCTTTGTACAGCTTACACTTGAACCTCTATGCACACCCAAAAAAATATGTACATCAACAGAAAGATAGTCACTCCTCTAGTGCCCTATGGGCTCTTTTCCCTTTCTTGCAGTACAACCACTGCTAATGAGCTATGACCCAATGAAATACACAAGCAATTTATAAGAAATAATAACAGGATTGCTAACCATTAATTTAAAAAATAAATTACATACAGATCATAAGAGATGCATAATTACTTTCCATCTTGTTCATTGTTCAACATCTTTAAGCAAGCCATATGATGATTATAAGCTTCTGCACCCTTTAAGCTTTTCAATTCAAGGTTGGGTCTAGATTCCCAACTTTTAGAATTAAAGCCGCTCTCTCATTCAAGGTTGGGTCTTAATTCCCAACTTCTAGAACTGAGAGGATATGCTTATCTCGTCAGGTCTTTCACATTTACTGGTGCGGGCTTATTCCCCATATATGCCTTAAATCACTTTATACTCTCTTTCATTCATGTCCATTTTCATAATCATATCAACAATTCACATATATGAATAAGTGACATAAATTGAAATAATGCTATCATAAATATAACAGATATGTATTTGCCAATGTATAAAATTTTATTATTTTCTACGCATCGTTTGGTATCTCACCTTGTCTTCCAGGACAGTTGGGTAAACTGGTTCACCTAAAGTATTTCGATTTCTTTTCCTTTGATATACAACCTAAAATATAACTTTCTTCATTCCAATAAATGCATACAGATAAACAATTAAAATAAATTAAACAATATGAAATCTTACAAACTTTACCTCAATCAAATTCCTTCTCATTCAATCTAACTTCTTCTCTCCAAAAATTCATTCTTCACTTCTCGTTTCCTTCTTTGATGCCTACTTTCTTAATTCTATTTCTTGCTGATTTCAATTAAAATAGTTAATTGAAATCAGTTATATTATTTAATTGTAATGACTTTAGCAGTAATAGTATTTAATTTAAGAAAGTAGATCTCATTTTAGCATCACAATTTCTATCTTTTGTTAACATTGAAATCTTTCACATATCAACAAATACTCTTATTGATTCCATCATTACAAATATCTACACACATTAGATCCAATAAATATTGAGTTTAGCAACTATTAAAGTCTACTGATTTTGAAATTCTAAGATTACTTGTGATTTACTTAACAACGACTTCAGCCCTGACCCTCCAGCTCCCCGTTTTTCCTCTGTCGACTGCTCTCGGCATAGCAGCCAGTTAGCTTCCAGGGAAATGCCGTGAAAGGGGATGCGTGGAAGGAGTGAGAATGAATTGCTCTAATTGTTTCCCACTAAGTTATAACAACAGTTCCACTAAGGGGCTGTTTGGTTGCCTGAATTAGGAGTGTAAGTAAAACAATTACATGTATTTACCAAATTTGGTTTTTTGGTTAATTTTGAGTGGAACAAAAGGAAATCATCGGATGCGTTAGGCGTGTATTAGGGGGGCTGATTTCCGGGAATTAGAAACCCGCTCGTATTGAGCGGGTTATAAAAACATCGAAAGAAAACCTTCATCGTGGTCGTGCTGTTCGGCTTCATTGCACGAGAGGCTTCTTCGGCTCCTTCGTTCTTGTTCGACTTCGCTCCGGCAAAAGTATCCTGCGGAAGCGGAGACGAATATCCCAACCTCCATCGCAGCGAAGGAGCCAACGGCGATGGCATCAAGGTAGTAAGGTACGACAACGCCGCCAATGCTAAGGGAGACGACATTGACGCCTTCAGAGACGGTCGCGTCAAAGGTGGCGAGGATGTCAGAATCAAAGCAACCAGCGGCCCAACATACCTTATAAATGGCGAGACGTGCTTTAGCCGTTGGAGAAGTACCTTGCGCCGATGAGCTTGCGATTACAGGCTGTGGTGCGGAAGCCGGTCCCGGCAACGCAGGTTCCGCGCCACTTGGCAGGGATGGATCCGAGGCCGCTGTCAGAATAGCTGCGGCGCTACGGCCAGATTCCGATGTCGATTACCGGAGAAGCTGACGAGGGTGACGATGCTGCTGCCATTAACGGGTCAACAGTACTCCGAGAAAGTCACCGATAACTGCATTGCTGCATGGAAAGCCGCCGACGTCTACACCGGAGAAGAAGCAGCCATTATTAAGTTACTGGAAATCTTCAAGCCGAAGAGCTTTCCTCCGGTCACTTCCACCGTCTTCTCTCATTCCCCTAGTGGCACTCTAACTGTATGTAAACGCTCGAATCAAATCGATATTTTGTTTTTTAGAGGTTTTTAATGAATTAATTTTTGTCTGGTTTTTGCTGTAAAGATTGGATTTTTAGAGCTGGGGGGAGTTCCAGCGGCTGAGAGCGGTGTGATAGAGAACAAAAAGCTGACGAATGCGGTATTGGAATCCATTATAGGGGAGAAAGGAGTTTCCTCTGCTGCGAAGCAGAGCTTGGCTAAAAGAATCTCAGAGTTTCTTAATAAGAAAGAAGAAAAAGAAGAAGAAGAAGAAGAAGAAGAAGAAAAAGAAGAGATTTTGGTTTTGGAGAAGGGCAAGTGGAGCAAGTTGAGGTTGCTTGATTGTTCTTTGTAATTTTACTTTGTCTGTCGTATTTCCTTCTGTGTTGAATAATGGTTGTTTTTCCTGAATCCTTCAGATTTGTTTGGATTGCAGGAAGGTTTTAACTTTTAAGCAAATGGTGTTCATAAGCCAGTAGATCTGCAGATGCAATGGTGTTCACTGAAGGTAGTTCTCTTCCCTGTAAAAAATAATTAAAAAAAGTTAATTTTATTTTACTCTGGATATACCTAACCAAATAAGAGAAACAAATCTCATGCGTTTCTTTTGCAGACAACCAAACAGAGCAAAGTATTTGAAATGCATTACATTTACTTTACATTGCATTTCCTTTACACTGCATTTCTTTTGCAGGCAACCAAACAACCCCTAAGTAATATAAAATTCATTCCTAATTCCACTAATTCACTCAGATTTGGTCACAACCGTTGATTTCCTGCATCAGGAAATCAGACCATTGCATGCATAGCTTAATATCATGGCTACAGTAAAAAGAATATGTAAAGTAATGATTGAATGCCTAGCTATATGTCGTAGCTACAACCCTAGCTACAGTGATAGGAATAGATAAATGACTAATTGCTAGTTATAAAATTAAAGTACCTTAAATTAATTAACTGTTAGTGACATAAGATCTAATTGGTTTAATAATTCGCCCATACTTTATCAAAATGTTCAAATAAATCGTATAATTTTTAATGAAACTAAATAAAAGTTTAGGATTTTTTTTTTGCTTACATTATTTTGAACATTTCGGGTATTATATCAATGAAGGATAGCATAGAGTTGTGTTACACCGGTTCAGTCTGAACCGGCCCAGCCAGCCCGCTAGCCGGCTCAGTGGGTATACAAGAGGCGGACACACAGCCCAATGTGATGGGTCCCACCCATCATTAGGAATTCAAAATGAATAGAGGGGGGCGGCTAGAGCTTTGGGAGGGAAATTCGATTAGGAAAGCTTTTGTATTAAAGTGCATGAGGAGATTAAAAGAGGGGAGGTTTTTTTTTAATTGGGAATTAGGGTTTCTTGACGTTTGGGCTCTAGACTCTCTTGCCTAGATATTTGGGAGAGACGATCCTCCTCTCGAATTGAGGATCTCTTATATCATGCTTGGTGTTTGTTTTCCATAAGACATTACTATCGTTTGATTGTTCTTCCACGACGTTTTCTATGTTTTATC